GCCCCAACCTATCAGGTAGGTCTGGGACAGGAGTCTCCTCCCACAAGCAGTCCGGATTGGTTGATTCAAATGCAATCTTCCCCTGCGAATGTATATGGGACACTGGCCGAGAGCAGCCATTTGGTCCCCAAATCTTCTACTTGCCTCTGTGGCAGTTGGAAGCATATGAAAACTGATCAGGTCAGATGGGGATAGGGTCAGGCACATGCTTGACCCTCCGTGGCAGATGCTCGTTAAGTGAGTGGGGTACAGGGAGATTAAGTGAGCAGGGTTCAGCTCAGAAGATCATGAACTAGGTGCTGGAAGGGATCACAAAGTGGCAGACATCCACATGGTTAACCCCATTTTCCAGTTACCTTGGTTATAACATCAGTCGGCAGATGGGTCAAATAATGTTGATCTGTCCTCCATGCTAGCACCAGTACTATTAGCAACTGTTACCAATAAAGTTGTGGCCTGTTGTACTTCCAGTGCTCATGTGTTGTGTTATTATTTCAAGTCTTGCCCAGGACTGTGGCCTGCCAGCTTGGGCAATAATAGTTATGCTAGATCAGACCAATATTACCTTCACGCAATGGCTAACTAGTTCTGTACAGCAGCCCCCTAGCAAAATGTGTATTCTGTCTGTCTCACATTCACCTGCAACTGTTGTTCAGAAACATGTGCTCTCTAATAGTAGAGGGGATGTACAGTCACTGATGTCCATATTCTCCATGAACCAGCACCCATTCTCCTTTTAAAGTTATCAGGGAATCCAGTTGAAACTCGAAGTTGTGCTGTCTGCAGTGGGGTTTGGAATGGGCAGAAGCCCCTTGTGTCGGCACAACTGCCCTTGTACCAGCATTCACACAGATCTGCTGGCACAACTGAATCTGTTAACACAACTGCTGTACCAACTGAGGTCAGCTGGAAGAACAGCCAAAAAGAGGCAGAGAAGGGGAGGCACAGTTATGGCAAAGCCAAATCCCACTCTGCCTAGACTCACAGCCACTGGGCTAGCACAAAGTTAGGCCAGGCTTAGGGCTGTCCTAAGTTCTTTCCAACATCCCTTTGTTAGGAGGGAGTTGGATTCAGCACAGTTTTACCTGGCTTAGTGTCAGCCAAGCCAGCCCTTAGCCATCTTGGCTAGCTAAGATTGAGCCTCAACTTAGCAGTCTTCACTATATCCTGTGATACAGAATTCCTAGTTTGACGATGAGCCTATTCAGCAAAGGCAGATTCAATTTAAAATGCAAATTTATTTTCTCTCATGCTGACAGTCACTCTCACACTTACAAACAAAACACACAGAGGTTTCAAACAGTGCTTGGAAAGTTCCTTGTTAAAATGAATGAATATAACAATGACATGCTGAAGCCATCTGTGAAAGGGACCCACGACCTTACTTGGTGAGGGATGTCTTCAACGTATCACTATATTTATTCTTCTTAAAAGGAACTTTCCAAGCTCTGATTTGGAACACTCTTGCCATATATAATAATATAGCAGAATTGTGATGATCAGAATAGAGCTGGTTTAGCCTAGGGTGGCCTCAGTGGGCCATTCCCGGCCAAACCCCGTTGCCTGATCTTCTGCGGCACAGATCACCTCTAGGCAGCAAAATGTACATTCATTGGCTGCAATTTAGCCCCCTCCCCGCTGCCAGCAAAACAGAGGAAGCGAGAAAGAGAATGCGCGCCTGGCAAGCCCTGTGTTTGCTGATCTTGGGTCCTTTCCTCTCTGTTTGCAAGGCTGGCCTCGAAGGCAGGGAGCATTGCCTTCACTTTGCTGAGTGCCAGGGTTTCACCAACCAAGGAAGTCTAGTGTTGTCTTGTTATAACACAAATATTTCTGATCTGTGTTCCAACAATGGATGAATCCCACATATGGCCGCACCCCAAGACTTAACAGCTATCTGCAACATCCCTCCTGGTGAAGGATTAGAAGGTTAAGCAGTTCCTGGACGGTCCCATCGTCTTACAGATTTGCAAAGTATACACAGCTGAAAGCTATCATCAGCTGGTCAAATGGCTTGTGGAATCTAGGCTGTTTAATAAATATGCAATGAAAGAAACACCAAACTAGATCAGACCCTTATGAACAGATGTAAGCAGATGAAAAGGGGGGAAACATTGACTTACAAGCCTGCCCTCACGCCACTGAAGGAAATGGAACTAAATTGACTCAAATCTAAGTGCTCTGAAGTTCATAATTCAGGCAGCAGGATGCTACTGAAAGGTCTCTTAGTATTGCACGTTTAATGCATCACACATCACAAGAGAAAAAGAGAAATTACTAGTTATCTTCAAGGCCACACACTGACTATATGACAGCAATTGACCATTCTTTTAAAACGTACATCCCACTCATACTGAAACATACACGCACTGCCTCTCAAGGAATCCCACCAAAGCTTGGTGAACTATGTGCCAAATGATGTTTGTCTTGATAACTCAAACAGCCTTTGCTTCAATGTATTCGCGAAGGCTTTCACGGCCGGGATCTAATGGTTGTTGTGGGTTTTTCGGGCTTCTTGGCCGTGTTCTGAAAGTGGTTCTTCCTAACGTTTCGCCAGTCTCTGTGGCCGGCATCTTCAGAGGATCTTCTGGATCCATAGATGGATGCTCTTCATTAGTATACCACCCAAGTGTCATTAGATAAAGATACAAGTGACAGTATTAAAATAACCATTCTAACAGTAGCTATTCTTGTCTCAATTAGCTTAAAGAAACCCCATCTAGTTTGCTATTATTTGTTAGATTATATGGGGATTCACAGGAATTTCATCCAAGTTTCCAAACAAATATTTTTTTAAAAAAGGTCAGGCACAGTTTTCCTCCTAGTTTCCTCCATTAACATTTTAAATTCGAAAGAGGATGCAGTGGAGATGAATAGAAAAGAAACACCACTTCCAATTTCATTTTTATTCTCCTTGACTTACTTATAGCATCCACACACTGATATCACAAGTAGAGATGGGCACGAACCACCGGTTCAGGTAACAGCCACACAGTTGATCCATGGTTCAGCGTCCTGCCCCTTCCAGCGGGTGCCCACTCAGAAGCAGTGCCCTGGCTTCCCTGCCTCCTCTGGGTGCTGCTTCTGAGTGGGTGACCACCTGAGGAGGCAGGGCACTGAACTGCGAATCAGCTATGCAGCTATTGGCCAAACCAGCACAATCTTCCAAACTGATAGTTCATGCCCATCTTTAGTCAAAAACCCCAGGTTTTCCTCAAGGTCCAGTCAGAAGGGTGAGAAGTTATTTTCTTCCTGCACTAGAATTGTGGCAGCTTTTTGCTATATGTATTTATTGAGAAATTCTACTTCTTACAGAAACGTTCAACAGATCTCACCACAACATGTTAAAAAAACCCACTAATGACAAATACGCACACTACAGATATAAACAGAAACATTTTTATAAGTGATAAGAGTAGCAGTTGAGACTTAATGGAGGTATCAGGAGTACAAAGACATCACCTCTTTGACAGGAACAGCAACAGGGTCTCCTCGAAAGGTGATATGAAACCAATACTGAGGAGACAAGCCAGGCCTCCCTAAGCTGTGAGTTGCACAAGACCCAAGTGTAGCCCTGAATTTGAGGTGTATAGGAAAGCCACTCCAACATATTTTAACGCAATGTTAAGGTGGCTTAAGATACTTTTGATCCAACTCCGGGAGGCAGTGGAAGACAGGATGGCCTGGCATGCTCTGATCCATGGGGTCATGAAGAGGCAGACACAACTAAATGACTAAACAACAAGATACTTAGGATACTTGCAATTCTGGATCCATAGATGGATGCTTTAAAGGTGGAATAAATTCTCCTGATGCTCAGTGATAAAAAATTTTGCAACAGGACATCAGTGCAAATTTAGGGACAACCCTATGTTCCAGAATCAAGGATCTCTTCTTCAGAACTATGTTAAAATCTCCAAGCAAATGAACAAATTCCAGCCTGATGCTTACCTGTATGCATGCTTATGCTAGACGCATTTTAAGAGCTCCAGTGGAAGCACTTATTACACTGGAAGACGCTGGCTCATGTCAGAAAATCACTTCCACATGAGCCAGTTTGACAAAGCAAACTCCACCCACTGAATTGCAGGCACAGGTTGCTTAACCACAGCTTGGAAAGTTGCTACTGCTGCTGTTTCATCATCATCTCAAGAAAAGAGATGGAAAAGCTAAAACCCTGTTGCTTATGTAGTGAGTTACAACTAGAGTACGTTGAATGAATCAGTGGGAATTTAGTAAGTCAGTTCCTTTGTACGTTCCCTTGATTCAAATGGACCTACTCTAATTGCAACTTGCTATACTAAAGTAAATCACAACTGGAATATGCCCACATGGATCAATGGAACTTACAGAGGAACTGATTCGCCAAATCATCACTGATGCAATGGGCCTACTCTAGTGAGACTTGCTATGCTAAGCAACAGGATTTCAGCCAAAATGTTGAAAAGACAAGCTTGAAATGGGTACGAATTTAATTTATTGCACGCCTTATCCAACACAGGGGCCAAAGAAAAGGCAATATTTAAAAGCTTGTTTGTCACCATTTGTGCTGACTTCTAACTAGAGGGTGCCATCTTACCTGTGCAACTGGCTACACTGTTTTTCATCCTGCATTCTTTCGAAGTTGTCATTCACCGGAGATGTCTGAAAACTTACTGTCACATATTTTATTTTATTTTAATTTTCAAGTACACAGTAATCAGAGCATTGATCTTATTTTATTTTATTTCATTTTATTTTATTTTAAACAGGGCCCTTCTCAGAGAATGGCACCAAACATGTGCCTTATTCTTTAGCTGAAATATATTTTGCATGACCTTACATGAATTGCTTAGATAAAAGCCTTTTCTTTCCCCCTTCTACTTTTGTTATTTTAAAGTGCAGATGCATTTGAGTCATTTTCCCCCTTTGTTTCATATCCTTAAGATCCGCAGCTTCAAAGACAGAATGTCAGCATGCAGTCGATTTATGACTGAACTCTTGAAGAGACACTGAAGAATTACCTTGTCAATCACCCCAAGGACTCTAAAGGCCTTCAGTTCCTCGGCAGGGCTCCTTAGGTTCCAAGAGGGCCTTGAACTTAGTGATCCTGGAGGCTAATGGAAGATATCAAAGATTACAACATCAATCAGGGTGGTACTTGAAGGAAGACTGCCTGCTGAAGCAAATGCCAGGCTGAAGGAAACTAAATTTACCATAAATCAGAGAGAGAGAGGAGATGAAAGAAGTTTGCTGTTTGTCCTTAATGCAAAAAAGAGAAGACGACGAAGAAGCTGAGAGTAAATAAATTGCATGGACACTGAAAATGGAAATACAGCAAAAAGGAATATTAATATTTTAAGAAATGTATTCACAAATGAGACAGTCTCCCATTTCTTTGTGCATGGAAGGCAGCTCAGGAATCGTACCACTCCCCACTTTGAGTCTAAAGGAGGAGAAGGAAAAATAGAGTCGTGAACATAGATGGCAGCTGTGCATAATATTCTGTGCAATTCAGTTGAAATATTCTATAAATCTGCTTTCCACAATACAACACCTCCTACATGTTGTTGGACTACAAATTCCGTAATATCTGACCACTCATTGACCTTGGACTGATGGTAGCTGCAAATCACCTAGCAGACACCAAGTTGGCAAAGCTTGCATTGAACTTTATTTTGAAAAGAAGCACAGCTAAGTGATTTCCAGAATGTTTGCAAATCAATGCCCCTCACCAACCACGCTTTCATGAACTGTCTGTATTATTCAAAAAAACTTGGCAACAAGACTGTTCCTCATAGCCTCACAATGTTCTCTTCACACAGTTCACACATGGCAACCAGGTGCGGTTTGGAAATTTGGGGTTACTTCTGCCATCAGCCTCAGCTAGCAAAGAGAAGGATCAGAAATTACGGGAGATGTAGTCCAAAACACCTGGAGGGCACAAAGTTGCCTATCTTTAGGCTGCTTGACAAGTGAAGGGTAGCAGTGAATAGCTGAAATCCTATTGGCATAAATTTCCACCACAGCATCGTCATCTGACAATGGGAATATTTACTTAAATTTAAAGCTTCCTATCCTCTACCTTTCCGGTTCCAGGGCTCCCTTCTGCCCTGGGAAAGCCTTTGGGAGCTGTAGGAGTACTCTTTAATCGCCAAAAATCATTGTCAAATTCCCACCAGCAGTTCCAATCCCGTCAGCAGAAATGAGGAGGCAAAGGATCTTTAGATTAAATATTCCTGCTGTAGGGTGATGACATCATCCAGTTTATGCGGCATAAATTTACCCCACTAAGATTTCAGCCAATGTTCAGAACGAGGAGGGAAAAACTGAGATAATTCTCGCCTAGCTTTCCTATGAACTGGTTTGGCTATGATGGAGCAAGCGAAATAATTTCTGAAGTCTAGAGATTCAGAACATTGTTTTTAAGTCTGAAAATATACGAGGCATGTCACTAATGGCAAATAATCACAGTAATAAAGTCATAGCGAAAAATCCTTTTCACTCTGGAAATCAATTTACTTTTTTAAAATCGGGCTATCGCCGCCAACATACCTGATCTAACATTTCAAACTTTATATTAAAAATAAGGAGTGCGTTTAGTGAATAGAGCTAGACAAAACAATATTTTCCATCGCTGAGGTCTGTGTCACTTTTTTTCCACCCACATGCATGTTTCACCTTCTGCCTCAGCCCACCAGAAGAGAAGAAAAAAAATATCAAAAGCCCTCCACAGCTTATATAAGACTCGTACTGCAGAAACGGCTTTTTCCCCCATGTCCACCCCCCATTTTTTTAAAAAAAGGTCTTGGCTCAAAAGTAAAAGGTAATTGCCATTCAGTTAGATTAATTTCCCCTTTTTTTTCTTATTCACAGCAAGTAGCTGCCTTGAACTTTTCTTAGGGTTCTTCAAAGTAAGATAAAAGACTCATTTGCCCTTTTTTGTCCTTCCATGATACAAATGTAGACAGACAGGAAGTGCGGAACTTTTAACATTGGTTATAGAAGAGAAATCATCGGCAAGCACACACAGTTTTGTGTGACTGAAGCAAAAGACTTCCAAACTAAGAACAGGGAAGTCCTGGGGGTCTAATATTTTTTTTATTTTATTTGTTGATTCTGGCCATTGCCAAGGAAGGTCAATGTCAAGATTCGTTAAAGATGTCTCAACCCCCACGTTCCAAGTAAAGTGGGAAGCGTGCCAGTCCCCCAAAAAATGTAAACAAGGGCTACCTTCAGAAAGACATGCCAAAGAGATGATCAGCTCAAAGATGCCATCATAATGAAAATGCAATTAATATTGTTAAAGTAACTGTGGTGGCTGCCTAGCAGTCACAGCATGGGATGGTTACTTTTTTCTATGTGGACTGCTGCAAAAACAAGGACAAGTCTTAAACACCAATTAGTCTAAGTCGGCATAAGCTTTGGTGGACTGCAGCCCACTTATTTGGAAGCAGTTTTGGACTACAAGTACCAGAATCCCCTAATCAATATGGCTGACTTTTTGCAAAAAAAAAAAAGTCCATGTTCTGCTACTGGCTGCTAAGCCAAAGGTCAAAGCTAGAGACAGAGTCTGGATGAGGCTGGGCCGCATCAGATTTTCCGCCAAGCAGAGCAAGCGCCCGAGGAAGCCACCCAGGAGTTTCCTTAGCCGACAGACAGGCGGGCTGGCTGTCAGGCTGCAGTTCTGGATGGAGGGTGCAAGAGGGGCTGACTTGGGAGAGAGCCGGCGAGCGAGGCAAGGCTTTTTTTACTCTTGACAGCAGAGGATGTGTGGGTGCTTTGGGGGGGCAGGCAAGGCGAGGGTCACAAACTATCATCTGGGGGCCGCAAATGGCCCCTGGGTCGCATGTTTGAGACCCCTGCCCTAATGAATACGGCTAACTTTTTGCAAAAAAAAGTCTGCTACTGGCTGCTAAGCCAAAGGTCAAGGTCTTGTTGCCATATAAAGTCCTGAATGAATTGGGGCCTGGCTATCTGGAAGATTACTTTCCCTTATAAAGGCTTCTACAGTCTATAGGTCATTGGGCAAGGCCTTGCTGATGATTCCTCAACTTCCCCATAACTGTCCTGGCACAACCCAAAAGCACCTTTCCCTTGGGGAGCCATCGCCCATTTGAATATCCTCTCCCTGCATTACTATTTAAGAGGCAGCAAGCAGGTAACACTTTAGTTGCCTGTTAGAACAAATCATCTTTTTACTAAGCCAGGCCAGGCTTTTAATGGCAGACTATGCTGGCAAGTTGGCAAATTACGTTTGAGAAACTGATTTTAAAGTGTTTTTAAAGTGCTTCTATTTTAATCATTTATACTGCAGTTATAAATATATCATTTTAGACAAAATGCGTGGTACATTGGGACTTCAGTTCCACACTGTACATCCCAGAACAGTCAGCCTGGATGTGGTACATTGGGACTTCAGTTCCCCACTGTACATCCCAGAACAGTCAGCCTGGATGACCTTTGGGCAAGGTGCGCAGCCTCAGGATGCCACCATAGCTGAGTGGGTTAGGTATCTTGCTGCAGAGCCAGAGATTAGGTGTTAGATTCTCCACTGTGCTTCCAGGGGGAAAAGCCAGCCTGAGTGGCTTTGGGCAAGCTGTACTCTTGCCAGGGAGAAGGGAATGGCAAACCACTTCTGAGCACTATCTAGATAACACTGAAAAGGGTTGTCATAAGTCAGAACTGAATTGATGGCACACAATTCTGATTATGTATACTGATTAAATACAGTGGGGTCTCGACTTACGAACGACCCTACTTGCGAACAATTCAACTTACGAACGCGCCCTATAGAAAAAAGGGTCAGAAACTTAAAAATAAATAAAAGAAAGTCACTTACCAGGCCTTGGTAGCCCCTAAACAGCAGGAAAAACAGCAGGAAACAGCTAAAAGCCGACACCCAAAATGGCAGCCATTTTGTGATTCCCCCCCCCGCACCCTCCTCTCCCCGTCTATCAGCTGATGGACTGGCTCTGAAGAGGCTTGGGGAGGCTTGCTCAGCACCTAAAAAGCCTGCCTGTGTGTCTTTGTGAAATCAGCACAACATGCTTTAAAACATGATTTAAAATTGGCTTCGTTGAAAAAAAAGATTTCTAAAGTGCTTTGCAAACTGTTCCCTGCCTTCCTCCTCGTTTCCTGAACCTAAGGGGAAAAAAGAAAAAATATCCCCCTCTAGTGGCAGAAGGCAGAATAGCAGCTTCCCATTAGTTTCTATGGACGGAAAAGAGCAGATACAGATTAAATGGTTTTCAATGCATTCCTATGGGAAATGCAGATTCAACCTAAGAACTTTTCGACCTAAGAACCACCTTCCAATACGGATTAAGTTCGTAAGTCGAGACCCCACTGTAAATAAAATAAACAAAGAGAAGATTATTATTATTCATAGATGACCACTTCGCCATTTTATGGAACAGGAGTTCTCAAACTTTCATAGTGCTCTATCAAAGAACCTAGATGTCATGGAGATAAAAACCAATAAACTACATTTTGTGGGAAGGACATTTACACTTTCACAGGTATTTTGTTATTATTGTTATCCTTTACAGCAAGTCTTAAGGCTATTTAAAACTGCAGTAATTTTTGTAGTAAACTTGAATAAAGAAAAATAATATTAGTCCTATGGAAATTCATGCCAAGGGAAATTTCTATTTAGCAACTTGTTTATGTACTTATTCTACCACTTCCACTGGAAAAGCATTCAAGGTAGACAAATACAACGATAATATTAAAATAATAATCTAGGACCGCACAGCTAGAAGGGACCCTATGGAGGTCAAGGAGGCAAGGAGGAATTGAACTCCCAACCTCTATCTAACCCACTGAGCTATGGGGGCATCCTGAGACTGTGCAGCTTGCTCAAGGCCATGCTAAGATAATGATGCAGCTACTGTAACTCTGATCTTTCTTTTCAAATCTTTTCATTTTGGATTTATCATTGTTTAGTAATTTTTAATACTGCATTCCTTTTTCCAAAGCTAAAAATGAATTAATAACGACAGGAAGAACACAATTGGCTTTTCCTGCTTGAAGTCTATGTTTTGTTCCATGTTTGTATACATTTCCTTAGATGAAATAATTAATTCTCTTTCTGTTAATTTTAAGGAGATGAAAACAGCTGTAAAGGACACAAATATGGAGGCATTTATACTCGCACAACCCAAGAGAATGTGAGCTATTTTTGGAAATATAGGACTACCTACCCCAGAAACAGCACCGTCTTCTGAAGAGGGTTTACAGTAGAGACTGGAAATTTTTTCTGCTCTCATCAGATATTCTGAAGTCTTCCTCTTTACTGCTTCACGACGGGTTGGACTTGACTCCCCTGTGTGTCATAAAAGAGTATTATTATTACAAGCCCAACAAAATTACCTAACTTCCTTTATTTCTTGGTCTCCCTGCTTTTTCAGTTCAAGTCAGTGGTTTTTAAGCTATGTTTTTGAGCAAGCTGGAATCTACTGGAAGTTGATTGGGTACTCCCCAAGACAAGGATAAACAAAAGTAGCCAAAATATCATCAGCATGTCACCTATGCATTTGCAATTGTAGGACAATAGAGTGTGTGTTTTAAGACAGTGGTGCTCAGCCAGTGATACACATACTGATGGAAGAACACAACTGCCATGTAGGCAGGATGCAGGGTTTTCACAACAACGAATTCACTCAGTCTCTATTCCTACACCCATAAGAGTGATGTGGTGTCTCCAAATGACTTTATTTGCCATGTTTTTTACATTTGGTGATCTTTGGCCATGCCAACCGGTAACTCTGGAATGTCTGATGTTGCACCTAATTCCCTCTACCTTCTGCCCACCAACACACCACAGATGATAAATACAATAAGAGGATTTCTGTAAACAAATACAGGTCCTTCTTTGGAAATGCCAACTTTTTGTTCCTCACATGGTGAAACTCAGGGTCTTTGAATGAGTGACTTTCAAATGTAAGATGCAGATGGTTGAGAGTTACTGTTTCATGAGATATTCTTGGGTCACATGAGGGCAACGCAAGGCTTGACTGCAAGGCTTGACCAAACAAAATTAACGGGGATCACACCCTAAAAGAGCAGCATATTCCTTTTAGATGGTACTACAGATATTAGCTGCTAGTAACAATGTATCTTTTGCGTATGAAATGGCTAATGTGCTACATAAGCCAAAGGAATGCTTCTGATTCTATTCCTACACAAACATCAAACACAAAATAAAGAAATTGTTAATAATTCTCCAGTGTTAAAATTCGTATTTCCAACACATATCACGAGATCTTCAATAGGCTGCATGGTCCTCCGTTACTTTTAAATACACCTTGGAACTGTTATGCTTTGAGGGCTCTTTTAGAGAAGAAAACACATTAGAAACACAAGTGTTAATGGCATTAAAGCTGTTAATTATTCTTTACAGCAAGACCATGCAAGGTCATCCCACTTCAAACAAAATGCTCATTTTCTATTTAGGTGTTTTTCCAGATACCAGCAGATATTTGTGTTTCGTTTGATAAAGATCAAAGTTTTCACCTAAATCAGTGAGATTTCTTAAAAAGCAGCAATGTCATTTTAAATGTTTAAAAAACTAACCTCCTCTGAAGAAAGATATAAAAAGTGTGGTAATGCTGATGACAGAGACCTTCAAATAAAAACCCTTCGAGATTCCCCATCGTTCTCCCCCCCTCTCTCTCTCCCTCTCTCTCTCTCTCATTTGCTATACAGCAGCTGTGCCTCAGACAAATTCACATGAATGAAAATATTTAGGCGAGAAACCACCCCCTTAGCTTGTTTTCCATATGACTTTCCTGTAATTATTTTGTAAACTGTTCGCACAACAATATATAAAAACATCTGCAAAAACAGGTAATTAATGTGTCAAGCTAAACTAATGCATTTTTATGGTGGCCATGCTTCGTCAACTGTAATTATAACTCTTTTTAAGCAAATGATGATGTGTTTGTTGCAATGCGAAAGTGGTTATTTTGAGATGCTCTGTTCACCGTTACTGCAAACAGAATATTAAAAAAGAAAAGGGGGGAGCCAGACAGCCACTATGCAACATATTACAAGCTTCTAACCATTTCTAGCACTCATTTCCACCACTGAACCATCTTGCATGCTAAAGAATTTGTGTGTGTGTGTGTGAAAGAGAGAAAGAGAGAGAGAGTTTTTTTTTAATTATGTTGGCCCACAGGTTAAAATTCACTGTCTTTGAATAGAAAACAAAACACTAAGCAGAGAAAATATATTTCCTCTGCATCTACAAAGTATGCCTCATACAGAACTATTGCATTTGTTACATGACCATCAGGCTGCCTACAGCTGGTACATGCAATAACCTTATTCAAGTGTTCGGTACTTCTTCTACTTTAAACATATTAGGATAAGAGTGCCCAAGGCCCCTTCTCTCTGGCAGTGCTCTTCTCATGCAACAAGTTACAGTCTTAATAGAAGAGACTTATTGACATATAGGGCCTCTCTAAAAGTGTGGGAACCCTGGAAAATCAAGGTATGTAACCATATGAAGGGCCTTTGGGCATAGACGTCCACTCTTTCAGACAAGTCTCCATATGATGATATGATAGAGGGTCTTAAATACTCCCCTCCTCACATGCCTACTCTCACTGAATTACCAAACCCCTGATGAGGGCTAGCGGACACTTTGGGTAAATAGAAAGGCAAGTGGACACTCTGAAACCTGCAGCTTTCTCTGTTACAAACCTGAAGAGATGCTACTTTGTCAGTAGGCATCTAAGGACATAGTTGATGGTGGCAATGTGCAACAGTGGCCTGAGGAGCTGGGTCTACGCTCCATTTTTATTTTTCCCAATACTCTCTCAGTGCTGCTCTGCCAGGGTATGATTACACTTAGCCACCTAGCACTACAATCATGTGTGTATATGTACAAATGACACTTACCATTTATAGTTATACAGCTATGAAAGATAAGATTTGCACCTAGGCTATTTACCTATTACTACATGTGCTTTCGGTGTAGGTTTTCATCAGATCTGAGGTCCTTCTTTATTATAGAGAAGATCAACATGCACTCATTTCGCTATATAATATAATAAATATTTAAACAGAGAATGTCATCAATACAATATGTTGATATGTTCAGTCCAGAATATTTCACCTATGGAAGAACTCTCGAAATTAAAACGATATGTAAATGATGTTTTGCTACAAAAATTTCAGTTATTTGTGGGTTTTAACATGCAAACTTTTTGCCCTTTAGCAGCTGTTGTAAAATTAATGCTTTGCATCTTCATCCTATCTATGGAAGTAAGGGATATTAATTTTTAAAACTACTTTTCAGCTAGCCAAAAAGCAATAAAGCACAATAATTGAAAACATGATGCAAACTGAATTTTACTTTATTTTTAATTTAATTTTTTCTGCATGTGTCAACTCCTTTCCTTAGTAGGCTTCAACAGCAACTGAAACAATCAATTTGTTTTATCAATAAAGAACTCTGCTTGTTAATTTCAAAGCAGAAGCTTCAGGGCTCAACAATGGCAAGTGCGGGATGAGGCACCCTCCACATGGAAGTCATTTATTCAGGAGAGGCCATTTGAGGAAAGTAGAATTTGACCATCAATAAGTGTCAATAACATAATAAAGATTAGGAGCTTTGGTAGACAGAAGTTGCTAGACCAAGAGAGAAAGAAATGGTCTGGTTACATGATCTAAAAAAATCACTTAGTCTCCCCCTGATATTCAGCATCATTGTGATGTTTTTAGAGAAAGCATTTGAATCACAGCATTGTTAATGGACTTTTGATGTTACAATTGCAGGTTCTCTCCCAAATGATGAGGTCAGAGTAGGTGCGCAGGTACTCCTCCATTGATTGGATTAAAGGAGTTGCTCCTGTGGTAACAGAAATATGCAAATGCTTGCCTGACTGCCCAGTAACCATGCAGCAGCGAATTCAAGACTGGTCATCTTATTTTATCTATTTATTTGACTTAAATCCTGCCTTTCTCCCAGAATTGGCACTCAAGGCAGCTAACAATTAAAAAAGAAAAAAAAGACAAGTTTTTAAAAATAAGAGATTAAAAGTGCAAAGTAAAACACACTGATAAAAGAAATCACAGCACCCAGCTAAATGACCCTTTCTACAACTTAATTATCTACATGAAAAGATCTTTGCCTGCTGGTGAAAAAAAAACATGGAGAAAGAAGACCCATCTCCATTGGCAAACAGTTCCAGAGCCTAGAAGACATCTTCTGTTAAGACCCAAAGGCAGGAAACGTCTGTGAGTGTTTTGGACTCTCAATAACCCACTGGCCATGAGATTCTTCAAATTGCGGTCCAAAAAGATGAATGGAGTCAAATCCTATCAAACAGGCTCCTGGGGTGAGCAGGACTAGAAGACAGTCTTCCATGAAAATCTCAAAGCCCAAGCAGGCTTGTATAGGAATATGGCTTGTCTTGATGATTTCCAACCCATTAACAGAGCAAATGCTTTAGATACAACCTTGACACCCCTTATGTTTTGAACCATGATGCTTCATTATCTTGCATTGTGCAGCTCATGTCATGCATGGCCAGCAAACTCAAACTCAAGTAATAATTTCAAGTAATAAGGCACTTCCCTGAGTTTCCTCTTCATTCTCACACAGCCAAAATATTGTTTCCTCTTTTATGACCCAGCCAAAGTCCAGACTCACATCTTTCTCACACAGAACAGAGTACCAATGAATTCTTGCATCCCGGTATTAACTATTCTTTCTTTCTACTTCAACATTCCTCATGCTTGTGTTCAATGAGATTATTCCACAGAACCTGCCCAGATTTTTCCTTGTAATCCTTTCCGAGATCAGTTTCTCTGCTCCACACAGGTGCTTGTTTTATAATCCAGAATGCTCTATCCTTTTCTTTGGCTCCACTTTACAGAGATCTTTTCACCTTGTGTGTTCAGAGGGCAAGCTATAACCTTCAGTATCATGGTCATTCAGCTCCACACACAATGCAGCACAGCCTGAGAAAGCACTCTGCTTCCATTCTTTACATGATGTTTACAGTAGATGTAGCTTTAGACCTTCACATTGCTCTGAAGTGCTGTTTCAAAGACTACTTATGGTTCAGGCCAATGAGGTGGGTGAAAAGGCTATCAATGGCTATTAGCCATGACAGCTATGTATTTTTTTAATCTACACACATGCTCCTTTTCTTCGAAAAAAAACTCAAGGTAGTGCATATGGTTCTTCTCCACCCTACTGCATTGTCACAATAACACCGTGACAGAGGTCAGGCTGAATAAGTGTGATTGGACCAAGGCCATCCAGTGTATTTCATGGCTGAATGGATATCTGAGCCCAGATCTCCTAAAATG